ATTCACCCCAGTGAAAGAAGACATCCTGTAGAGGGGTCTGAGGCTTGAGTGGACATCGCAATTTCTGCTGGCTTTAGCCCTCGGCACTGCAACTCATTTATCTAAGTCTGAGAAATCCACAGGAACACCTAGGAATGTGTATCAGATGTGCTTTGATCAGTGTGTGCAGGGAGCTGAACCTTATTCTAACTCTACAAGCAGGAACATGCTGGCCTGACTGTACATGGACCAGGGTATACCAAAGCTCTCTTCCTCCCTTGAGAAAATTCAATGGCACACACACCACTCCTGCACTATAAACATTATGCGATTTTTAGCTGCTGAAAATACAGACAGTTGCCTCCTCTTCCTTGTATCTATAAAATATATATTTTATATATATAGATAAAATATGTATCTATAAAATGATGTGTGCCTCCTGGCTTCTTAGGAAAGGCATTCCTCTCCTGATCCCTCACTAATTGTCAATACCAAAGTCCAGAGAGTTTGCACTAAATGGGAAAATCTTTGAGAGCAACCTGGTAGCTTCTTCCAGTCAGCATGCAAAGATGAGGTTGATTTTCAAAATTTTATCAAGATTGTGGTAAGGCCAAGGTTTTATTATTACTTCCAGTATTTGGTGCAATTTCCTATAAACTCCCCAGTGTAGCTCAAAAATAATCTGGGGCACCATCAGTATTAAAAAACCTTGGACATGTTTTCCTGACATGTTATGCAAACATCTAGAAGAGTTCTCTTTGTGGTACCACCTTAATGGTGTCATACCAGAAAAGGAAAAGTCAGTAATGATAAAGCAAATTTTGCTTCTCAGATGTCCAATGGAACAATACACCAAAGATTTAATCTTCCAAAGGAACAGGCAACAGATATTTAGCAGAATTAGTTCCACAGCACTATGTGTCACCACAGTTATGCATAAAGATGTTATAGGGCTTGGCCTTTGAGGAGAGAACAAAACAATTGAAAAACATGACTGACAGGAGGAGAATAAACTACTTTTTCCTGGGAACTGAGCTATGCTAAATGACTGATCCTTCTCGAAAATCCTCCAGTATCATACTTCTTTGACTGTTCAGTGAAACTGGGAGTATTTATCACCTGGTATTATTACTCATGTGACTACAAACATTAATTGTATTTGTTAAAAAAAGTTGGTGTAGTAATTGCAGTTTCTTACTCATGAGGGATAAAATGCTGCATTCCACTTCTGTTTATTGAAAATTTCAGGACTATGTTAACTGCTGCCTAATATATCTAAAATATACTCAAATGAAGTAATTTTTTAAAAATTAAAAGATTATTTGTATGTGGCTTACTGTATTTCTTCTAGGAAACAATAAAAGGGTGAAATGTCCTAACAAGGCATCAAGATATGATGACATGGTAAAGGAGATAATCCTACCTGATTGCCACACCTTTTAAAATTATGTATAAGGAGTCTTTTGTTCCCTGTTTTTTTGGAATGTCATGCAACTCATAAATAATAATCTGGACCTAAATAAACACACGCTAGTTAAAAATCCTGTATTTATTTAAAGCATTAAATGAATCATTACTTCAAATATTCAAATGGCAGTATATTTCCTCAGTTTCTTACCTAACCTTTCTTTTATAAAGGCAATCTAAGACTATGCCAATAAGCTAATGGCAAATTTTTCTCAACCTATTTAAAACATTCACTGGTCAGTTTTAAATCCCATCAGAAATGTTTAGTATTAATATATCATGCTAATTTAAAGTAAGAAGCTAAGTCTTTAGAGCAGGAGAACCTGAATTATCAAGATTTTTTTCAGTATTCCCTTAATGGAATTCCTATATTTTGTCATTCTATCAGTAACATCAAGATTTTTCAGCAGAATTACAAGAAGCAAAAATATGAAGAAACTAAAAGGACACTGATAATACAATCAAGACTTAAAACCCCCTACATGTTAAAGAGCCTGTTTCTTGTTTTTTTTTAATAAGAGAAAAGTATCTTCACATGGGGTTCATATCTCCCCTTCAGTTGTAACATACCTAGATAAGCTTAAAATTTTCTTTTACTCAGGAGAGGGTTCAATTACTTATTAAGAATTACTTACTCTTTGCCAGTGGTTTGTATCAACTTAAGAGAGTAACATGGAGAGATGTATTTTTAAAGTGGGAAAATCCCAGCAACCCACAGACTTCAGCAATGAAGGTGCATGCAACCTCTAAGAGAGTAGATGATGGGACAAAAAAGAAGCAGGGCTAATCTTGGATGAATCCACTATGAAAAAAAAGGGCTAAATTGGTGCTTGAAGGATTTCTTGACAAAGATGACAATGTCCAGTTGCCCACTCCCTACAGCCCCCTTAAGTAATAGATAGTTACACTCAACTAAAACCACCTTTGTTTAAACACACTGTTTCTCCTACCCTCCCTCATTACCTGGTCAGAAATAATGATTATCTGATTAATTAATTGTTACTCAATTACCACCTAATCCAATCCCCATCAACCAATCCTAGGCACACCTTTACAACCACAATAAATAAAAAGAATGTTCATCTCCTCCTCTTCTTTTCCCACATCTCTTTCCTATCCTCCCTTTCCCACTCCCCCCAGATTAACACATTCTGGAATTTATTTTCCTGGCTGAGATCCAAGAACTAGAGTGTTCTCTCTATATTTTCCCCACAGGATGAATAAGAGATGCTGGTCCCGAGCCCATCCTCTGGTCTCACCTTGGGGTGAGTGCCAGTGACTCCTGCAGTGTTGCAGTTCTAGCAGAACTCCTTAAAAAGTGGTCCCACATTGCCCAACATTCTTTGACTCTCTTCCCTCCTCCAATGCTACTTTTTGGGATTCTTTTTAATTTCTCAGCTCCTTTCAGAGAAGCACCTCCTTAGTCCAGCTCACGTTAATTGTTCAGAGAAAACTTTTATTCACCCTGAGTGAACAAACTACTTTAATTGTAAAACAACCAAAATAAATACAAATTCCTGAATAAAATTCTAATCACTATACTGCCCCATTCCACATGCTCTGGAACTGGGCTATACTGTATGCCACATGCCAAAATGATTTGTATATACTATTGACATTTTTCATGTTCCCCGCAATGTTTGGAATACCGCACAGCACAGGGTGCAAGAAGATAAGATCGTTTATGTAAGCAAAATATGACCTTACCAGTGTGTAAATCCCTTATGTACGTATGCAGGAGAAATAGCTGCGAGTACCAGTACTACATGTATGTGTAATTATTTGCTTTACATGCCACATCAATTCCGCAAACAAATAGTAACTATTTAGCAATATTCATCTCTTTCTATTGTAAAACATCTAGGAGGGGAGAGAGACAGAGAAAGGTAAGACTTTAAAGTCCACTAATAAATGTATACTGGCTGCAAACTAGTATAGAGATGTCAAGTCTGTGCTGTGAAAACAGAAATTCATGGCTGATAAAACAGCAGAAAATGGAAAGAACAGCCTGATCCAAGAAATCAAAAGTGCAACAGGCTGTGCTGCTCTGGAAAAGAAACATGGGCCTAGAAACAGTAAACACAGAGTTTATATGTATCATTCATTCATATAAACATATACATATATAAGCCCACACACATCCTAAGTTGTATTCTTGTGGACTATTTTTTTTTTTATAATTCAAAGCAGATATAGATAAAACTTACTAAACCTTCCTGTTTAGAATCTGAAGGTGATATGGTTAAGTACTCTGAAATCAACAGATGACACATTCAGTTTTCAGTACAGATATATATTCTGCAGAAATCTGGCATTACATCTCTTTTCAGCATTTTGCACCTGTGCCTCTCATCATATGGTTAAAGAATGTCTGTTTGTAGTAGCAGGCCCACAGCTTGAACAGACCAGTGGTACTGGGTGAATCAGGGGACATTTGAGTCCCACTGCTGCGTAAGAAAGAAGAATTCTGTCAGCCCCGGGTCAGGCCACAGGTAAGTGCCACCCACATGTTGCTTCCCACATCTGGAAAGTCTCATGTGATGCTCTCACAGAGGGAGCTGGAACAGTGTGGTTTATGCCCTGCTTGGGAGGATGGTTGGGGAACAGCTTTACTTCAGCTCTCTGTCCTGCATCTCGAAATATTTCCTGCTTGGGGTGGCATAATCTCTCAGGCTGGAGGAGGAAAGTCAAGCCTTTATCTCTCTCCCCCTCCTCCCTTTCCAACCCCAGCTGTTTCCATGGTAGAGCCAGCTGTAGCTGCTGCCAAAGAAAACAAGGCATTTTCCCACCTCGAGGGCATTCCCCTCTGAACATCAAACATCTACAGCAAACAATGGAGTTGAAACAGCTTTGCAAATAAAAAGTCACAAGAATTTTTCATAGTGGAAAATATCAGGCTACCTACAGGCAGGGGTTGCTTCCAGCTCACAAACACTACACATGCTTTCAAACACTCTCCACTGTGAGCTGAACTAGTCTTTACTGAGACATTGCATGGTCCCAGTGATGTAACTTGAATTAATTCTCCCTCAAGCTATTTTGTAATCACCTTAATTGTCAGGTCTTAAAAAGAAGAGATTTTTAGTTCTTTGGGAAGGGAGTGCATTTACATGCAGTAAGAAGCCAAGCAAACTGTAGGGTGTTCTGAAACAGCAGGTCACACACTAAGCAGTGCATGAAGTAGGGGAAAGGAGAACGGGCATGTGCTACTGGAGAGCTTCAGGGAGCAGAGCATGTGATAAGCTGTTGAGGGAGCTGTGCTTTGCAAGCTCTAGCCAAAGGACAAATGAGCAATGCAGAGAGCCCCTGGCTGCCAGAAGCTACTGAACCCACACTAGAGGCCTCCATGGAGACTTGGCAGCATGGGGTTCAGCAACAGCAGGAGCCACATGTTTTCTGTGCTCCTGCTCAGTGCCTGCACATACGCTCAGCCCTACCAGCACAGCAGCGTCCCATGGGGTCACGTTTCCCCCTGGCCACCCTGACCCCACCCAAACATCCCCTCTGCTCCACTCCACTACAGCACTGGCATTCCTGCCTTCTCCACAAGTACACTCCGCTGGTCTTCCCTCTCTCCCATCTCTCAGAAGCAGAGGGGTTTGTCAGGAAGTGTGTGATACCCACTGAGCACTGCTGCTAAGATGAATAGGGAACTCTTAGTCCCTAGACCAAGAGCAGAAGATGAAAGGTAATTCAAGAAATCATTTGGTGGGAAAAAATACTGGACAAGGTATCACTGAACAAGCTTCTGTTACTAATCCCTAGCTAAACTACAATTCCTACAGATGAGCACAACGAAATAGTTTTACTGTGGGAAATTACCAGAGTTTAAATGTGCACCCCACATATTTGGCATTCATCTCCTCCAGAATTTTGCATACAGGTAAGCCTCAGCAAAGATGGAAACAGTGCTTATCTGCATTTTTCTGTATTGTTGGGGCTGTGGAGGAAGGGAGTGACAGGCACGGGTTGAAGGTTCTGAATTTTCAGAACTAATTATGTGGAAAATTAAAATTGACATATTTTTGTAATAAAAAGGGCTTGCTTTAGATTTCTTTTTAATTTTCCCACTTCTCTACTGGACAGTTTAGCAGATGCGAGCCAGGAGAGTCAGTGACTGGGAAAGTAGTTGAGTGCTGACTCATTAGAAGAATTAACCCTACACATCTTTCAGAAATCACCATCCTGCCAACTCCCATGGGAAGCTGCCCAACAAGACCATCACTCTCACTTACTGCCTACAGCTTCTCCCAAGATTTCAACACCTTCTGTACATTCATGCTTGACCTAAAGTGCCCAGTATGGAAATGTTCCTCCAATCTTGCCTTCCCTCCTCCTTCCTCACTTGGAAAAGACTGGTCAGCCAACATTTTCTTCACAAAAGGATGAAGAAAACCTGAGAGTCTGACTAATTGCAAGAAGAGAGTCACACTAGAAGTATTGCTGAGAACAAGACATCTGAGGTTTTAGATATTAAACGTGGGTGACTGAGAAAATGGGACTTAACTGGTAAAGGAAACTGGTAGTTAGAGGTCATTGATAAATGGGAGTGGGGGGCAAAGGGAATAGTTCACACATTGTCTGTCATTGGTACATAAAACATTTCTATTTGACAGTTTTCCCATGTTCAACCATAAAGTGACAATTGGTTTAGAGACACTGTAACTTTAATCTCAGTAGAGACCATGAATTCAGACTAATCTGAAATCTTAACTCAGCACTTCCAAATAAAAACAGAAATGAAAAAATGTTACTGGTAAATATCACCATTATGAATAATATATTTTTAAACTATTTTTCCATAAGGCACATATACCTATTACTACAGAAAGTCTAGAAACCTTAACCAGGTTCATGCCCCATCACACTAGGCACATGAGCTATGTAGCAGTTTGTGAGACTGCTCACATGCTTTTAGCAAATTTCAGCAGATGGATGGAAAAAATGTGTGTGTGTGTGTGTGGTGAACAACAACAGACCATGCAGATAATCTACAAAATCTACGGTTAATTTTTTCTGTTGTCTTATCTTTACTGTAGTAGTTGTACTGTGTATGATGGATTTCCAAAACATACCAACAAGGTCTCCAATTCCAATACCTCCTTAAAGCTCCCTCTTCTTCAGCATCCATTCCATTTATACATCTGAACCCCAAGACAATTTATTTTTTTCAAGCAGGCAAAACAATTATTTCTCAGTTATTAAATACACTAACATAATACAGAGACATACAGAGAGAGAAAATATGCATTAAACATTTTGCAGAGGGGCCAAAGAAGGGAGTTTCTGGCAATTACTCAGCATAAGGAGTAAGGTATATGGTGAATAGATTAGATAAAATTAGTAGTTGTCAACCCAGTACTGCCTGATGACAGAAATTACAGCTTTATCTCTCTCTTATCCATGCCTCCCACATATCATGTGCCTCATTAGGATCCTATAGACAGAACACACAAGAAAAAGACCATCCTCAAGCAATCAGAAAAATCCATCCAAAAAAATAAATCAAAAATCTCCTGCCAGATTTAGTATAAATTATTTGTTACAGGACCCAATTATGTACTATCCTAGACTATCACAGCATTTGAGGAATGGGAAAATCCATGCTGTAAACAGGTGCCTTGCCATGGTTAAAAATGCCTCCTTGTATTTTTAAAGAACACATGTTCTTTGCCTGCTGGAAAAACTAGCCGTATATTAAAACCAAAAATTAAAGACAACTGGCAACTGACTCAGGGAAAGGACTGGGCAGTCAGGATCTAGCTATGTTAAACTTGGCTGTGTTGAGTTAGATGACACAGAAGTATGAACTTTGAGAAAGCACTGGAAACACCTTTGCCAAATGTTTGGAGGAGAAAGATGTTGCTTTTTAGGCTACACGGTCTGTACAGTATCTGGTACAATGATCTGTGACCACAACACCCGAAGCTAGAAGCACGGTGCTGGCTGTCCCAGCCATCTTTGTGGGAAAACTTGGTTGGGTAAAACTGCTTTTCCCAATTATCCGCATTCCTCTAACTAAATTCTTGCACAGAGGTTTTTGTTTCAGTCACAAGAGCATGAGGAACAAATGAGCAAGGACCCTGAATGGCTGAACAGTAAGTCAAAAACAAACCCAAGGTCCAGCATGTGATGACACCACATAGGTCATTTCCTTCTGCATAAAAGAAACTAACCCATAGGAAGCATTTAGTAGAACAGTAAAAATTAACAAAAATATTTTCTATCAGGTCATGCCGAACAAGTTTCCAGCAGACTTAACGAATGGTGCAAAACATTCCAGCAAAATCTTGCTGGTTTGCATGACAAAGAAGAATGTGAGTACATCAAAGCTTGAATGTGCCAAATAAGAAATTGTCCTTCTGGTCCTCAAAAGACCAGCTGACTTTGAAATTAGAACGAACTGAGCCTTGACCACATTTGTAAAGACAAAAGAGAACCAAATCACAGACACGATCTGTAGGGAAGTCTAGATACTGTGACATAAGTTTTCCCACCTGTAGTTTGAGGTTAAGGTTGTAAGCACTGAACACACATAATTAATGAGCTGTGCTTCCACAGACTCACAGGGCTTTCAAGAGCCTGTCACATTCTTCTCAAGTGGATCATTAAGGGTGGTGTACCTAAATGGATGGGTGGAGGAAATTTATCTGAACAGAAGATTAGAAGTGATTCAATTTTGGGAGATAACCCGACTTTTTGTCTTGGTAAGACTATAGTTCAACCATGTGAGTTGACACTGGCATGTGGGGCTACTCAGCAGTTTCACCCACAGACTCTGTTGTGCAGATGAAAAAGAATAGCATTATAAAGCTTCTTTTTGTGAACCATAAAGGTACAATTCTGACATGATGCTGGCTGATGTAATCAACGGTTTAATGAGGTAAGGCTTAAAGAGGCAAACAAAGGTTTTCACAATGAATTTTTTTAATTCCCCTTAACTGAAAAGAGTTCATCACTGACAACTGGTGGGACTGTGACAAAGATAAAAGGAGTGGAAATTCATGCTGAGATAGTTTTTTACGATGGTGAAGGAATCTTTTCTCTCTGGAAAACACACTGCAAGTAGTGGCAAAAGACCTGGGAAGAAGAGGAAGGGAGACAGTGGTTTTCAAGAAGAAACTACTTGAGAGAGAAGTCAGTGCTGAAACTTTCCATTCCAAAGCTTTTAATACTAAAAGGACTAAATTATCTATAAGAAAGCACTGTGTTCATTTCATACCTTCTACAGAAATGCAAAGCAGAGTATAGACCAAATTACCTACTTTTCTTTAGGTATCTCTGTGGTTGCCTGGATGAATGGAGGTGTCAGGATTGTAAGGGGAACACTGACTGACCAGGAAAGGAAATTGTCTTATTTATGCAAATACCAGAGACCATGGTGCTTGTCATACTGGAGCTCTAAAACCAAAACATCTTGTGCCTTCCTCATTTTCTATTTCACAGTTACTTTTGTTATTTATTTTTAAATAGCCTCCTGAGTAACTAGATTCCAGAAGAAGAGGGAGAAAAAATTGTAAAAGCAAAAACTGGGAGAAACCAGAGAAGGATAGCTGAGCCATCAATTTCTGTAGACCAAACCCTTAGGTCCAATTCACCCTGTGCTACTGCCAGCCACTTACATCATTCATAGCAAAAACTTAAACAGTCCAAACTGGTGCATTCAAGACTTGCAGGAATACTGCTTATTCGCAATATATTCTAAAAGCTAAACACAAAATAATTTTAGCAACTGCATAGATGCAGAGCATTATTTAAATAGAATAGTCGTTAAACAAGCAATACACCGTTTAAAGATGCAAACCTCAGCATTTGCTACACTAAAAGTTTTTCTACAAAATCCTCTCGAATCCTGGAAAACTTGCTCGTTAGAAAGGTGCATGCTGTTCTAACATATATATATATATATATATATATATATATATATATGTATATATGTATATGTGTATATATATGTATATCTATCCCATGTCAGCACAAACAGCCTCCATGTAAACACGCAGCCGGGAGTACCATGAGTAACACCTCTGTTTCCATCAGAAGCCCTTTATCCTGCGTAAGAGGTCTGCACGCTAATAGATGTCCTAGGCTAATGCTAACTAGCTACAGCTGGCTCGCAGCTATAAAAAGCATTAATGAAAACATAAATACAACTTCTCCACTTCCCTCAGCCCGTACGTCAGGGCTGCGCAAAGGCAGCGCTTTCCAAGAGGTCTGTGTGAATGAACTGGCTGCTCTGAACCAGCTTGCTCTGGTTCTCCTGGGTTTGTTTACTGAACAGCGTGTGCAGAGACGCGCTGGGGGATGCAGGGGGGGAGACACACCACGTGTGCCCTCCCGCAACCCCGAGCCCTGGGCTTCCAGGGAAGGCTTGGATAAAGGCAGGAAATATCTGCTCACCAAGGGACTGACCCATGGGCAGAAAAGTGTCAGTCTGCACTGAGGCTGGACACAGCTCCGCTTTACCATATAGCCCTGTGTTTTGCTGTAATACCACTTTGCTGTGCTGTCACAGACTCGTTTATAACAAATAACCCACGCAGCGGCACGCACGGAGCTGAGGAACAACGCTTTATACCTGGGAGTTCCGTCAGCTCTCCAAACTTACTACAGTGCTCACACTTTTATTGTGCTAAATACAAAACTATATTGAAGGGAAAAAAACAGAAAGGGAGCTTTATCCAGGACATATAGAGAAAAGGAAAAAAAGCATATATTTCTACTTCATGGAACTTCAGGTTGCAAATTGAGACCAAAACATCAGGATACTGAAGTGCTACAATAATCAGCAATTTTTATCAATCCACACTGCACGCACACAAAATCTTCATTATTATTTGACTATTGGACTGTTTACCTGCTCTGTTAAAATGGTTTTATCATGAAAGCAGTCACTTTGCCACCATTTGCTTCTGTGGATTTCAGCAGGTGACCTCAGACAGAGACAAACCCTTCAGGTGTTTGCAGGGAGGCCAGGCATGTTGGCTTGCTATCCAATATATATGCTAAGCTAACCACAAGCTTGAATCAATACTTAAGAACTGTATGTAGCTTTCATTTTTCATTTTTATAATGGAAATCTGTTCATACACAAGGTTGATTGGGAAATTTGGGGTTCTTCATAAAAAAAACGTTTAGGAATGCCCAAAAGTACATTTACCTTTAAAAAAAAAGAAAAGTATCTTATTTCCAAATATCATTCTTCTTTCTCATTATTTTGTTCAATGCGTGACTTTTTAAATTCTTCTGATTTGCACTACCCAAATAGCAACTGCAGCCAGGCAGATCACTCCCAAATGCAGCCTCTATGTATTCAGCAGGGATCCAACATATCACAGAAAGCAACCCATTTGTCTACACAGGAGTTTCCTAAATCTAGCATACAGATGTTATCCTACGACGTGCAATGCTTGCAAGCATCTAAAAAGAAATTATCCAATTGCAATTTGTTGATTTGCTGAAGTTGCAACCTTTAAACCAGATGTGCCACCTCTTTTTGCTTTGAATTCTCCCCCTTCTCCTTGTGCATATAAGCTGATTTCCAACCAATTTCTTAAAAATCCACAACCTTAGTAGAGTCCCTTTCCACTTGCACTGTTGAAACATAAACAGCCTGAGAGACACTGATTTTCCTAACTGTTCATGCATCCACTTCAAATACCTGTTTTCTTAGGATGTTATTGATATGTTCTCCCTCAAATCCTGGCAGTCC